AGGGAGGAGGGGAGGGGGAAGGGAGGGGAGAGGGGAGGGGAAGGGGAAGGGGAAGGGGAAGGGGAAATTTATTACTTAAAGCATATCTCAAAACTGACTTGTTTCACAATCTAACCAATCTCTACCCAAACCTGAATATGTGTGTGTGTTTATAAATAAAAATGTATAGTCACTGATTTGTTGATTTATATTTCTTGTAAGATCTGAGATGGAATTAATGTTGTTCCTCCCCACTTACATCATGGGGTTTGTGTATATTACTACTGAGAGACTACGCTGACTCAATCAAAATTCAGCTTTAATAAAAGTATTCAATAGCAAAACACATTTCACAGAATTCCAAATACATTACACAGACTGTATATGCTAACAGATTGAGAAGTATCTCTTAACCAATATTTTAGAGAATGGGGTGTAGAACTGGAAGAACTAGAATAAAAGATACATAACCAATTCATATTTTGGGTAAAGGTCTGAAAAGGTGGGGCTTGAATTCAGAGCCTGAGTACTGTCCTTTAACTATTTTAATCTTCAGGGTAGCTCTCTATCACTTGAGTCACAGCTCTACTTGTGGCATTTTTTTTTTTTTTTTTGGGTGGTGGTGGTGTTTAGTTGGAAGTAGTCTCAAGTACTTAGCTGCTCCAGCTGGCTCTGGATGGCAAACTTCAGATCCCAGCCTCCTTAGTAGCTAGTATTTAGGTGTGCTAAAAAACTTTCAATTGTTTCTAACCTCCTAACCCCCGCCCCCCCCACCCACCTACTGACTAGAATGAAAGTTCCATGAAAAAGCATTCTTTGTTTTAAACTATTGTATCCCAGACCCAAAGTAGAATGCAGCACAAAATAAGTGCACAATAGGGTAAAGTAAAGGAATGAATCCTAAAACATTCAGGAATTACTATACCCATGCTATCTCAAAACATTAAAGAATATATTTTTTTATATTTATGGTATCTTTGGGGCTTGCTTGCTTGGTTTGGTTCAAGAATGGTTTCAAATTTTCTAACATACATGATTGAACAGTAAGAGAAGTATGTATTAACTTGAAAACCTTGCAGTTAACAATTATATTAAAACAAAAGAACAAAACCATCAACAGCCTTTAATGAGAAGTAGCAGAATACAGCATTAAGTTGGATCAGGAAACCCAACTTTTAAAAGGAGACATTGTCACTAATTAGGTAACAATGTAAACTCTTCAGGCCTTGGTTTTTTTTGAGTTTCTTCTGGTGAAAGCAAAGTGAGGGATAATTGATCATTATTTTACTTCTGTCTAGAAAGAAACGGTCTTGGAAAAGAAAAAAAAATCTCTTCTTTTGGCCTTTCATAGTGAAATTTGGGGACATATTGACGAGGCTAGGAAAAACACTCCAGATTCAGAATAATCAAGGAAATAAAATCTTAATCTATGGCTAAATTATAAATTTTTAAATTCCCCAAGGAAATAGCATTTTTTTTGTTAGGTTCATTATGTGCACAGGTAGAGACAAGTAAAAGGGGCACTGAACTGTGATCAGGAGCCTGGACTTTACTAGGAAACTGTGTAGAACTGCAAGAAGAATCTTAATCTAAGCATAAATAAAGGGCTTGTTTCCCAAATACTGGTCAAGGAGTAGAAGAATCCAGACTAATACCTGAGGGTCTGATTCAGTAGTCAGGATATGGCTGAGGACATTTAAAATTTAAAAAACAAATAACCAAACCAAGCAACTTACACAGTGCTGGCATATGTGATGTACACACCAGAACCCAGGGACCACTGCTTTGGGTGACAACAATCCAGATAAAGGGTTTTAAGACCTTGGGTGGTACTGCACCTTAATGTTATATGGAAAAGAACACAGTTCTCTAGGACCTCCACATGGTTATCCAATGTACTTAAACAGATCCCATTTTACTATGGACCAGTTCAAATTGTTATGTTCAACAATGTCAGAACCTAACTTGAATAGAATTTGTTTTACTTCCTAAAGAAACCAAAAATCAGTCTGTTCCTATTTTAATATTAAAGACAGGCAACAGTATAAATAGATGACTTTCCTCAACTCATCCACATAAAGTTTAGCAAATTTTCTTAATCATACTGTAACTCAGGATGTGGGAGCTATCCCTGAGTTGCTATTGCTCAAGGTTAGCCCTCTACCACTCTGAATTACACAGATCCTCTTCTGGCTTTTCTGGTAGTTTAGATGAGGAAACAGATTTCTCACAGATTTCACTGTCTGGGCTAGCTTTGAACCATGATCCTTAGATCTCAGCATTCCGTAGATCCTCAGTCTCCTGACTAGCCCAGTACAAATACCATTTCAAAGACATAATAAACTCATTCTTTTGTCACTATCCTGTAGTTTTTAATCTTTTGTTGACTAGAAAATAAGGTTTAAATACAATATATGCACAATTTCTAAGTGTTAGCAAGGAACTTGAGTAATTCTTTAATAAAGTAGGCTTCACCTAATTTTAATATCAAGGAAATTATTGTAAGCTTTATCATTTCTAATACTGATTGTAACTTTGAACTATTAAAGGGCATTTATGGGCTTGCTGTAAATACTTATTAAAATAGTATGAAGATATTCAGAAAACTTACTAAAATAGTATAAAGATAAAAATACTCATGTAACACTTCCACATAATTTATCTTTGTTTCTCACAATAATAGTAAAACCAGTGTTAGTCCCTAAGACCAGAAAACACATGACTGAAAGGCTGTTTCTTGACCAATGAAGAAAAAAAAATTTTATGGATTCTTCATTACATTTCCAAGCTTTAAGCAAATTTACATTTTCCTCCTCTTGACAAAGTCTTAGTGATATATTTGTCCCATGGAGTATGAAAATAAAAGGAATGTTTACATAACATCAGTAAAATTATCCACTTCCTAAGAAGCAAATCCAAATCTGGCTTCTCTTCAGATCGTACAAATCTTTCACCTTTTACTGAGAGGCAAATCTAAAAGCTTTTGATGTGTAGGTCATACATACTATTCTGTCAACATGCCTTTGAATCTAAATTCCAACATGAAAGAAGGCTGATTTGTCATTAATGCCTTTAGTTTAAAATTTTCAAGTGAGAAAGCATATATTAACACCAAAATTACATAAACTAAAAAAAGAACTTTCTTTCAAAATTTACAATCTGGAAATGAAGGGGAAAAAAAGGAGAACCAAAGACTACTGAAAATTCAAAACAGTACAAAATTCCCTTTTTTTCATTTTTCTTTGTAATTTGCACTTCCATTTTGCAGTAGCAGTCTGTTTCAATTTCCTTTATCCAAAAGGGCATACCATTTGTTTCTCATTCAATTTACAAATTGAGTTGGGAGTATTTTGTCAGAATAGATGGAGCTGGACCAAAACAATGCTGTATCATTGCCTTAGGAGCAACAGGAGGACTGTAAGCGGACAAAATCTCCCTTTTTGCTTGTTATGCAACAGAAACATGTTAAATGCCCCTGCAGTGTATCTGTAGAAATCTCATCAGTTTAATTTTCCCTCAGCTATACTAGAGGTCAGCTCACACTTACCACCACTTTACTATGAAATTATATCTGCCTACAAGTTAGACATTGAAGTACTTATGAGCCTTTAGGCAAGTGACTCATTCCTAGTTACTTTGGCACAGCCCTGAACAATGAGATCGGGTATGTCAGAGATAGATATGGCACTCTGAAGATTAAGTTCCTGATCTACCTGTCAAATTGACCTTTTATGGCTATGAATTTGTTTGCTGCAGAGTATTTATCTGAAAAAAATTATAGGTTAATACCTGCAGTGATAATTCCACATTAATCTGTTGACTAAAAATAAGTTTTCTTCATTTACTTCTCATGTGAAAAACATCCAAACACTTTTATAGGACCAAACATTAGCCTCACATTCATTAGTTTACTGAGTCTCCCTCACTGAGTGTAAGAAACAAATTTTTTTTTGTGGCCTAGTTTTGTTGAGGCTGTTTAGTTATTGTGTAGCCTACAATGGCCTGGAATTCACTATGTAGCCAAGGCTAACCTTGAACTCTCATCCTTGTTAGGATTACATGTATTTTCTAACCCTAGCTCAAGAAACAAGTATTTTTGAGTTTTACAATTAACATTTCTGAAATTGAGATATTTCTAAGAAACTATGGAGTCTCAGATTTGATGAAATATGGTAAGTGATAACATTTGGATATTTCCTCAAGGGTATCAAAAGCTAGCTGAACAAGCAAACGCTCTAAAATACTGGAAAATAAAGTGCAAGTGCCCCAATACAGATCACTATTACAAAATGTTCCCTTAAAATTGGTGAACACCATTAATGACTTAAAAAAAATTATGGTATGCTAAAATACTAGAAAAAAATGGGCTCTACTACATAAAAACTAAAATCTTATTTGAACTACCTCCTAATAAGAAAAAGCCCTTACAAATGAAATAAGCGTTTTAAGTTACCTAGAATAATAAAATTATCATTTGCTTTTCAGTCATTCTGGTAAAATGCCATAAAGTCAGTCCTGTACTACTCTTAGTACTGTGATACTTAAACTTAATGCATGCACAAGCATGCCAACACACCACAATTCCATCTCCCAGGCTTTTAAGTAGGTATCTGAGTTCATTTTCACCTCTTATTGATGGATACATTTCTTTTAAGGATGGAACAATAAAAACGTCAAATTCTGGGAATGTACATAGAAAAGAAATTAAAATCTAAAATTTAAAATATGTAAACTAGAGGTAAAAAATATAGGTGGAGAGGAAGGACTTAAAAGACTTTCATAATAATAATATTCTTAACTTCAGTACTACTGACATTTTGGGCAGCCATTCTTAGCTGTGGGATGGAGACTGTTCTTTACACTGCCTCTACTCACTAGATGCCGGCAATGTCCCACCCCCTACATACTCAGTTGTAGCAAAAAAGGACGTATTGAGACACTCAAACAGGGAAAAGCCAAATCCTTTTCAGAACAAAAGCCCTAACCTTTTAGTTTCTCCTCACAAAGGGGGCAAAAAAGTTAATTAAGGGAAAAAGATTTCTCAGGTGTTTCTGATTCTGAAATCATTTGAAGGGAGGAAAGTAACTTTAAATCCATTTAAAAGCAACACTGCTTCAAGTAAGTTCTTCCAGCTGTAGAAGAAAATAAGTATTTATTTTAGTTATGTCTAAGTATTTGAAGTACTAGAACTAATGTGAGAAAACATCTTAAAAATCTGAAATACCATATATCCAAGGGTCTTTCTGAATTATTATTTCCTTATTCATTTGTTTTACATCCAACCATTCAAACTATCATTCAAGATAGTGAAATATATCATTTTTACATTAGGGTGGTAGCTAATGTCAGATATTTTTCACCTCATACCTACACTATTTACAAAGAAATGATGAGCACTTAATCTATGCTATTTTGCTTGAACATGTGATTTATATCATTATCTCACAAGAAGAAAAGGTAAATCAATACCACACTCATATATTATAAATAATATTCAGGTTTGGTTTTGAGCAGTCTTCCAGTAAATAGTCAAAGAAATGTAAATATTAGTAAAACAGTAGTTAGAATTTGAGCACATGTGCAGACAGTCTAGGCACTGATGGGAAGAAGCCAAACTCTACTAGGATAGTGACAGGTTAGTTACCTCAAGTGACTAATTCAAGTTCTAAAATTAGTCTTAAATTCCTAATTTATAAGCAGTGTGATTTATAAGTAATTTATAAGCAGTGGCACAATAATCCAGAAATCTAAACACAAATAAGAAGTCTTAAAGAAGCAATAAAAATGCAAATGCACATAAAATAAAGAGTTAGACTTTTCTAATAATTACACTTAAAATGTTTTTCCTTATTCTTAATAGCATTTTGTTGAAGGTATTTGTCATAGGATATTGTATACCCTGCAGTGGTTCAGATCCCATCACCCAACAAGAAACCCTACACCTATTAGCAGTCAGTTCCAATCCCTTGCTTCTGTGTCTGGCAACCAATCATCTACTTTGTTTCTATGGATTTGCCTGTTCTGGACATTTCACATAAATAGAAGGAACAGGGCCAACATGTGCCCTTTGGGGACTTCCTTCCTTCACTAAGCATAGTATTTCCAAGGTTCATCTATGGTATAGTATATAACAGCATTTCATTCTATTTTAAGGCTGAATAATCCTCAATTTTTTTTTGCAGCAATTAAGCAAAACATTTCAAGTAGTGGGTTTACAGACCTGAAACATCTTCAGCCATTCCTGGAGGCCTGTTGGTGGTTGGACAGATGTAATTCGGCGTCGTTGTTGCCCTTGGCCGTTGGCTGCTCTCAGGTCCCCAAATGTTGTTGGTGTTGCTGAATAAGGAACAAGCCCAGTGGTACTACAAAAAGAAAAAAGTATGATAATAGAAGCAAAGGTAAATATTTATTAAGAATCATGAACTGTTATTTAAAAAGAATGATGACCTGGCATATTACAATTAGTCTGTTATTTGGTTATTCTCAAGAGCAGTATACCAAAACCTACTCTGCTATTCTTAGAAGTTTTCTCCCTCCTGTTACTATCCAGAAAAGCAAATGAAAAAAATCTCAAGGGCAAAAGATCAAGTAGTTGATATACAAATAAAGTCAACATATTTCCTTGGGACTAAAGATAACATGTAATTAGCATATACAAAAGGCCCTGTGTTCAGTCTCTAATTACCAATAAATGAACAAATAAAAAAGTTTTTCTTCTTACAACAGGTAGGTCCTAGTTCTATGAATGTTTTTCAGTGATACCACTTTAGTCTAAATTTTACTATATTAAAAAAGTATGAGACTATCAAAGCTGTAAATAGCTCAAATGTTTTGGAAATTACTAATCACATACTTCCTGAAGCCTGCCTCAGATGGCTTCAAATTTCTAATACTTAACTATTGCTGTCTAATTTTTCTTATTCTTATAGTTTAGTCTATACATTTGACAGAACTAGTCTTGGTTAGAAATATAGTTACTCAAAATAGGCAGAAAAAGAACTTATGGACAAAATTAAATAAGATCATCTAAATATTTATCAATAATTTAAGATGAGAAACTGAAAGCCAAATAAACCAGAAATTTTTCAAAAAGAAAAATAAGACTAGACATTCTAAACAATGGCAACCAGTAGAAAGAATAATAGCTAGCCTATTAATATACAATATTTTATAGTTCCTCTAATTAAAAAATTAGAATACTGAGTATCACTGCTTGAAAAACTATAAAGAAGCAAGTTTACTTAACAAACTTTATACTTCTGGAATAATCCTCTATTCACTAAGTATTAAAGTCTAAAGAACACACACAAATTGTATTATCATAGTTGAGAACCAACTAGTAAGTAATCAAATCTGGTAAATTACCAATTAAACAAATTCCTATTTTTATTTCCTGTTTTGTTGCTGTTCAACTCAACCTTAACCATCATAATTTATAGGAAAATCTTCATACCTATCCTTTAAAAATTTTTAACATTTATACATTTCATATTTATATTCAACAAGTAAATCTATCCTTCCTTTTTTCAAATTCATTTTCTTTAAAATGTGTTAAAATTTACTAAAGAAAAAATAGAAAATCAGTTTCATGTTACCACCTGTCAAAAATATAACAGAACGTCCAATATATAGCATTAGTAACTGACAAAACCTTTAAAAGAAGAGGGAAGAAATTTGTTATTGGGTCTTTGGTAAGCTACTGTTAAAAAAGTTACTTTCTCAATACAAAAAGTAAGCAAATAAATCAAATTTCACTTAAATGTGTTCTTTAATAAGAATCTAGCACTCATTAATTATAAACTACCATAAAAAACTGAACTTAATATCTCATTCCTGGAATCATATTAATATAAAACCATTATATCCTAGCTGATTGGAATCTAAATATTCAGTAGTAGTAACATTACACTCAACTTTTTCTTCAAATATTTTGTCAAGGTCTGAAGAAATGAAGTTTAGATTTTATTTGTCTCTTTATCCTACACCCATCTGTGAAGCGCCAAAACAGCAAAATTGTCAAAAGGCAGACAGAGGAATGGAGACGACAACACACACACACACACACACACACACACACACACACACACACACACACACACACACACACACACACACACACACACACACACACACACCCCTCTGTTTGGGGCAAAGAGCTCTTATGTAAAACTGTAATAATTTTTTTAATCTTATACCCTGGGCAGTGTTCATGTCATTGCAACTTATAGAATAAAAATAACTAAATCAAGATATTTTGTGGAAAAATGTAACTATGAAGTCTTCATTGCTAACTTCTGATTAATTTCTTGAAGAACTGACCAAAAAAAGGGACCAAAAAGGTTCTTAAGATACTTTTGTTATTTAAATTTTGAAATATAGCATTCCCAGTAACATTCAAAGCCATTTTTAATTGGCTGGGAAATAGATATTGTGCTTAAGTTAGCCTAATTAGCGTGAGAGTGGGAAAAGTTTTATACTGATGCAAAATCCAAAAATGATGGACTAAAGCAAGAAACAAGACTACAATTGTGTTTAGTTGTTATGGAAACTATTCTACTGGTGTAGAAATGTATGTGTTAAAACATAATAGCTACCAAGCTAATAAAAGTAAATTCTAACACATTAATTTCACGAAGTAGGAATTTGCATTTGAGATGTTTATTTCAGAAATATTCTTTCAATTTTGCATACATAAAAATATCCATCATAGAATAGCTGTTGCTATAGTAACAAGATACATTTGCTCATACTCATCATATTTTAGTTTACTTTTGAGAATTCCTTAAAAACATTTAAAAATTTTTGTTCACAAAAGAACTTTTGCTTGTATCTTACGTCAATGTGCTAGTACAAAATGCAAAATATAATGGCAGTCCTTCTTCCCTCATTTAAATGATATTACTTCCTAATTTCAGTCAACATTACTGGTAGTGTTACTTCAAAAGGATAAAAGGAAAAAAATGTTTTCAGAACCAACTTTAAAACAAATGACGACTATGGGAGAGTAAATTATGATAGTTAATATTACCTTGTATATTCTGAGACTTTGCATGGTTTCTTTCCCAAAGAAAAGGAGCGGACCTCAGAACCATGGTCCAACTTTCTTTTCATCTATAAAGTAAAACAAATAACATAGTTTGGTGCTTTTTTTTAAAGTCACTTGTTTAACTATTAACTATTGAGTTAGGATTCTTCATATTTAAAAACTTAGATTTTTCATGTGATTACAGTGATAATTTGGTAATTAATACAGAAAACGAATGTATCATATTTTTCAATTGCCCCATGTTGTTTTACTATTAAGAGTCTTGAAAGGTAAATTATCTCTGGGGTATTCTGTCTAGAAGGGCAGTGCTTCTTGATTTAAAAACTGATATTCATCATATATAATCCTTGGGAATCATATACTTATCTTTTCCAGTTGAATAACCAACATTTAAAAAACTCATGGTCATCCACATACAAGAAAACCATGCCTTCCTTTCTAATCTCTGTTTTTCTTTTAAAAATATGTTTTAAGAAAGGAACAGAATTCAAAATTTCCAAACCAGAAATAAGGAGTAGCTAACTGAATTGTAAACACTCATATCATTATATAAAAGAGTAAAGACAGCAACATATATAATCTTGGAACTTTGTTATAAGCATAATAAATATGGTCAGTTAAAAAATAGTAAATTCATCACAACAGAGAAATTTGGAGATGGTATAATAAAGCTATAGAGTACAGCTCCTACACATAGGACAAATAATTGAACCAAAAAAAGTATTTTAAGAAAATAAATTATGTCCTTTAAAATATATACCCAATATTAACATTTTAACATGTTTTATTATGCTGTTACACTAGTAATATATTCAGAATTGTATTTTATCGATGTTGAAATACTTGTTTTCATATTTCACTATCAGTTTAACCGAGGTCATCGACTATACGTTTATTTTAAAGCCAGAAAATAAGATCTGTTAAGATGCAACTTTTTTCCATTTCAGATTTGTACCCACAAATTAATTACTGTTTTACTCTAAGTTATAGAGAATAGACAGCTATGCTCATTTTTATAGTAGCTGAAAACCCTATTTTTCAGCAGCCTATTGCTTCACATGGGAACACCATAAAACAGAATGATACAATATGAATACTAAAGAGAACCAAAAAGACTCAAAATCTTTTTAAGACTGGATAATGATTGTTGCAGCCCCCATGAAAGGAAAGCCTTCTTATACATTAAAGGATGACTTGGGATGTTTTTGAAAATCTTCTTATCCATAAAGGATGACTTAGGACATTAGAGCTGGACGTGAGGATAAGCTGGACAAGCTTATCCACAATTTATACCTCAGTTTGTGAAATACTGCTGGGGGAAAAATGGAACTGGTCTGATTTCTTTAGAACTTTCTGCACTTATTACATTTTGTTAAAGAGATTAGGTCCAAAAGCCATTCTTTTCTTTCTCTGATTTTATTTTTTTAAACATAATTAATATAAAAGCACGCAGGCAGCCACATGTTTTCATGTATATAAGCTGTAGGAACACACACACACATGTATTTGTATCATATTTATAAACGAACACATCAGGAAGGTCAATCAGTAAATATTTTAATAACTTTCACAGAATATTTTCATAATCTTTACAAGAAACTTTGATATTCATTCCAATTAAGTCTGTAATACTGGCTTTCAGAACTTCTGTATATCTTGTAAATACAGTGGTGTTAATGCCATTTGCCAGTAAAGGCAAACTTTATTTCCATCTGAGAAACCTCTCAATGAATTTTTTAAAAATGCGCAAAATACATATTAAAGAAACACTGAGAAAGGGGTTTTATTTTTAAATTTTATAAAATAAAGCACTTTCTGAATGGCAACAGAACTCTTTTAAATATTGTACTGTTTATTGAAAAATACTCTTTTATAACCAAAATTTAATTCTGCAATTTTTGAGAGGCATGGAAAGTATCATGCCTCCTCTTTAAATATAAATCCCAAATATTTTAGTGATTCTACATGTTAAGAGTCAAGTAATGAGAAAAGAAACATATAAGGTATAGGAAAATTGAAGGCAAATGGTTCACTAAAAGCCGACTAAGGAGAGAGTATTTCCAGGTCAGCATCTAACGGAGCCACGTTTCTGAAGTCTGACTACAATTTTAATGAGAAATTCTCAGATTAAAATGTACATTTTATTTTAAATTTAAGGCATTTTCTAGCTCATGCTGCTTTTCCATCAATTGCTTACAGTCATGAAATAAAGCAGAATACCAGACATCCAGACACCCACCAAAATTAGAGGATACTGCAGCCATCTCTGATGATACAGATTTTCCTTCCCAGGCAGGCACACACACAATCACACAGCACAGTAAGAAAACAGATTACTTACTTTGTAAAAAATCATTTTTAATGTGCCGTAGAAACCCATATTTTCTGTATTTTTCCCCTTCAGTGATTCTGTGCCCCCGTGTGTCCGGCTGCTTGGCAGTCTCTGACAATATAAACCTTTTTCAGGTAGGTATGTCACAGATTCTAATGTGGACATGCTCAGGCACGTCAGAAAAGGAAGATTAGGGAGCAGAACCGGCAACCAAACTCCACAGTAAAGGCAAATGCAGCTCAGTATCAAACCGCTTCTCGGGACGCACATACATACATGCAGCCTGACTGAGGAGAACTCGAGGGAATAATGAGAGAGAACCGAGAAGATTATTGGAGGAGACGGTGCCCTGTCAAAGCCTTGACTGAACAGATTCCTCCCTCAGCAGCAGAGGGATCAGATTACATCTTCCCTTGAACACAGAATGGTGCAGTCCAGGATTCAGCAATGCAGACTGCACATCAATTATATGGTGATCCGCTCCAGGGAACCCGTAAGCAAGCACACAACGCACTGAACAGAGGGAGGATGTGGGCAGCAGAGACCGCCCCCACACGACAGCCCCTCTCCCTTTTCAAACTTTCAGCAGATTATTTTCGTATTCTGTAAATCTGTATTTGTTAAGAGTCTTAAAGAGCACGCACCATTCCCACAAATAAGTCCTTCCAGAAACATTTGGAAATGAAATGTATTCTTATGCCGCCCCTTCCAAGGAAGAGGCAAAGCAAGCTATTTTTATTAACTGTCACCCTACAGCAACGCTGGCACAGTCTGGTCAGCTCTTTCAACCGCTTGGATGGTACCAAATGGCAATATCAAAAAGGAAAAATTAAATACTATTTAGGGAAACTGACAATAAAGTAAATCCATTTGGAATATACAGTATTTGCAGAAACATGAAACAAGTTCCATTTCAACTTGCATGTCTCTTATATTGCAAACTTGATGAAAACATTCCCTACGCTTTTCCATTTCATTCTTTCAAAATTCAGTTTTCAAGAAAATAACCACATACTCCATCAATTCTTAGTAACCATGAGACTTAACATACACATAACTAAACCACTGCATAAAGTCTCTCTGAAAGGCTAGGTGCTTTTTGGAAGGAGGGTCTTGTCCTTATTTGCTAATCTTAGGTCAACAGGAAGCACTGGACTTGTATCTGCAAAATTACTTTAACAATGTGCACTGCTTATCATTAAAAAGGCATTTAATAGAATAATAAAGATGCCAGCTTCGCCTGAAGACATCTTTTTTAGAACAACTACCATAGAAATGTAAATATTTCATCTTCCAACTTGCTACACAACTAGTTTCCAATGCAATTATAAGATTCCTTGGACTAGAAAGGTCTATTATTAAGGGTCTAGTTAATTAACTTCTACCCTCTCTCCATTAACATTCTTTATTACAAGTGTATAAACTATGTACCTACAGTTAAGGTCCTTACAAAGTTTCCTTAGAAAAAAAGAAAAAACTCATATAAACTTAATACATTTTAGTGCTTTCTGCAATGAAGGCAAATGACTAAAATAATTTCAAATAGTGAACAAAATATTTAAATAAAAAAGTAAATGTATACAATTATGATATGCAAACAGCCATTTAAATTTCAGTAAAATAAAAACTACATAAAAATGTTAAAAAGATTAAACCAATGTAATATCTTAGTTTAAAATGAAAATAAGACAATGCAAAATTTTTATAAAGAAACATTGTTGACTGTCCTAGAAATTAGATTCTATTATCTTTTTTAAAAATCTACATGATCCTTAAACCCTTTTCCCTCAGAAACAACATGGTCACACAAACTCAGTGAAAGTTAGTTTTCAATATAATTAATTAGCTCACTTCATAGGGAAATGCTTTTTAAATTGAAATCTAATACTCTCAAGCAAAAAATAACCTACTTGCTAGAAATAGACCAATAAAGCCTTATTCTTATAGGGGGTCAGAACACTCATGATTTAGGAAAGAACAACAAATAGCCTTGTTCTAGGCTATCTGAAGGAAAGAACTAATGGCTGAAGTTGCCTCTAGAATTTGTCAGTGGTAACTAGATTTTCATCAAAGTAGAATACAAGTGACATCATAGCATACATACACTGACTTTAACTGAAATCTTGTTCTGTTTCTAGCTGACTGACCTTTCCAAAGTCTAGGAACAGAAACCAACATAAATAAGGGGCACTTTCTCAAAACCTAGAAGGTTAAAGAAGAAAATACCAAGATTTTGTATATTGAAAGGAATATTTTCACGGTTACCTTTTACTAGTGCTATTTGTCTTCCACAAATATTTGTTTACATGTAAGCATACCCGCGTTCATGTTTCGTTTTTGAATAGATGAAATATTTAATAGTTTAAAATAAAAATAATACAAAAAGAATATTTAAGAAGTTTTTATATTACCACAATTCCTGCATATACAATGGCTTTCATTCGGGAATGATTTTTTAGCACTCTCTTAAAATACTATCAGTGAAAACTGTTATCTAATTTTATTACTATCAAAAATCTACACATGAACAATACAAATGAAGGCATTCTCATATTCCTATTTCTGGTAATCTCTGCTAAAATAAAAGATATTTAAAAGTTTCAAAATTTCATGTAAGTTTCTAGTGATATAATATTCAAAAGGTCATGTGTTTGTATCCATATTTATCTGTCTTACACTTGTGGTAGACATTTCAAACCTTATGTCAGTCTATAATTGATGTAATTTTTAAAA